CACAGCACAAATAAGGGTTTTAAGCATTCAAAATACAGAAGAAAAAAACAATAAAAGTTTCCTTTCTCTTTAGTTGCTAAGAGGACCATTAAGTTAGTTTATTTTACCTGAAGAGGCGGATAACAGAATAATAAGTGAAAATGCTAAAAAGCTTTCTATTCTCTACTAAATTATAAATGTTAAGGTTCACATAAGAAAATATGAAATTAGAAGTAAATTTCTATTTAGATCGGGTAGATGAAGGCAAACTTTCCAGTAATAGCATATTTAGTTAAGAGTACTGCAATGGGCTACATAAGGAGCTTATAAAAATTCCCTACCCTGAGTGTCTTTAAGAAATGACTAGTTCTGGTTATCTAATGCACTTAACACATGGGACAAACTGATGACAGACCTGTAGCAAATTGATTGTCCCCAAGTGACGAAAAGGCAAAGGAGGAAATTCTGATATTGTCATGACAATATGACTGATCATGACATCAGCAGTTCCTAATTCCAAAATATAAAGAACACTCCCGGAATGCTGACAGCATACTAAAAAGATCCTCCCAAAAGATCCTCCCCCTTCCTTCGCCTCCCAATCTAATATTTAATCTACTGGCAGATGTGCTGAAGTTACAACTAAAGGATTATTAAATGTTGAAATCCTGTGAAAAATTCTTCTAAATTGGAGGAAGCACTAGGAGGAAGAAGTAGACAATCTCTGAGGGCATTTTTCAGACTTATATGTTATACTGGGCTTCCCCAGTGGTTCAGCAGTAAACGACCCACCTGCAACACAGGAGCCTCAGGAGATGAGTTAAGATCCCCTGGAGGGGGCACGGCAGCTCACTCTAACATTCTATCTCATGGACAGAGGAGCCTGGTGGGCTACAGTCCATAGGGTCGCAAGGAGTCAGACATGACTGAAGCGACTTAGCAGGCAGGCAGGCATATATTATATTACACTATTTTGTTATATTTTATTAGATTATAAAAATGTTACAATTTACAAAATGCTTTATTGTACATCTCATTAAAGTCTCAGGGAAGGTGGCAGGGCAGGCATGATCCATTTTTTTTGAACAGCAGAGTGAGCCTAAGGTAGGTTTAACAATTTGACTTAGGTCATGAAGCAGGACCTCAAGGTTGGAAAGAATGATTAAATGCTAGTTCCTGTGCCTGACGTATAATAATCGCTCAAGAAACAATTCAATATAGAATGAATGCAACCGTCTCTCCTTGGACACCATGAAAGTGAAAGTGAAAGTCGCTCAGTCGTGTCCAACTCTTTGGGACCCCATGGACTATACAGTTTATGGAACTCTCCAGGCCAGAATATTGGAGTGGGTAGCCTTTCCCTTCTCCAGGAGATCTTCCCAACCCAGGGATTGAACCCAGGTATCCTACATTGCAGGCGGGTTCTTTACCAGCTGAGCCACCAGGAAAGCCCAAGAATACTGGAGTGAGTAGTCAATTCCTTCTCCAGCAGATCTTCCCAACCCAGGAATCGAACTGGGGTCTCCTGCATTGCAGGAGGATTCTTTACCAACTGAGCTATCAGGGAAGCCCTTGGACACCATGACTGATAATAAATTAAACCTAATCATATTTAGCCATTTCTTTTAGAAGGTTCTTTGTTAAACGGCCTCCAAATCTGAGCCTATTCATTATATTCCTACCCCAGGACTTGAATCTGTGTCTTCCGTAGATTGTATACAGCTTTTCTCTGTATTCTACACTGTCTGACCCATAAAAGTGAGGGTGGAGTCATCTTACTTTGAGCCTTAACAACCTTGTAATATTGCTTAAATAGTTTGTAAATCTCTGAGTTCCTTAACCCACTGTCCTACACATAGTAGGTTCTGCTGGAGGTGTGAATGAATGAGGAACGATAGCTTTCTTACACAGTCACACACAGGGAGAGACACACAGACACACACACACAAATGACAAATGATGATTTGCATCCTCTTTTGAAAATGACAATAAGGTGAAACTAGAAAGAGCTGAATGTGAGAAATAGAGGGAACAAAGCTTAAAGAGTACATTTTACAGGTTATATTAAGCATGATACATTAATCTTTCGATCACTTGGGATCCTAGGACAGGTTGTAATGAATGATGCATTTTGCATTTGTATGTTACTTATTAAGGAAATGGGATTCCACAATCAAATGGTTTCTCTCTTGACCTCAACTATTACTGTCAGAATAAATCTTCTTGCTTTACTTTTGAAGGGAAAGTGAAATGTCCTACAAATCTCTCTGAGATCAGTCTCCTATAAATATTTGGATATAAATTGTATGTCATGCAATCTAAGATGCCACTGATTATAATATGCTTAACGATTACTGAGATGTTAACATTTGAAAAAAATGGACAACAGCAATTACAGAACATCATATATTATGCATCCTGAATTTCAGCAACGCTGATATGTGAAAAAAGTGAGCACTAGAATCTGTTCAGAATGGCACAAGGTATGTGAACACAGTGCATGGATACCATGCACACATGTTCATCTTACAGCTTAGGCTCCAGAAATATATTTTTTCAAACACTCATTTTTAACCTTCATCAGAACCCAGAGCTACTAGGTGACTGCAAGCAAATGACTCACACAGTCAGTTTTTCCAAGATCTGACTGTCTTACTAGTGAGCACAGTCTCCACTAGTCAGAATGAGAAACTCTACCCTAATCTCACAAAGGAACAAACTGAGCTGTCAGCTTCCCTGTCCTAACAGCCACCCCACCTCCTAACAATCATCTCAACCTCTACCCCTAGTGCTTTAGATACACAGCACATTTATATAAGAAAGGTGAAAAGGAGATGAGCTTAAATCTGTAGACATTTATCAGACTTCTCCACTCCACGTCTTGTTATCCGTGTTCTAAAGTTGTCAGTTACAAACAAAACTTGAGAACATTCATCCCAGACGCTACTTCTTTACCAAGTTTAAGTCACACAAATGCATGCAAGTGGACACACGCACACTCAAAAGGTTGTTCAGGGCTGTTCTGGCACTTAGCATCAATTCCAACCTAAAAGTCAACCTTTTAGCAGAGCCTGAAGTAGTAATTCTCAATCGTCTAGCACTTCCATTTGGAAAAGTAATTTTTATGTGAATCAGGTAAGTCAGATAGAAAGATATATCTAAAATGGCTATCACAACTCTTAAAATTGATATGAAATTACAAAGTGAATCAAAAGCAATAACTTAGCAGGTGAGATGACTCAGTTATAGAAAAAGATATAAATGGTTCACACTTAGAGCAATGACTGTTAGTAGGTGTTGGTATCCAAGGGCATATATTTGTTCAGGAATCAACCAAGTCCCATTTCTTCCTCCTTCTTCATGCACCTTTCCTTTTAGTCATTTCATTGCTGATGTGAAGATAAAACCGATAGGAAAAAGTGAAACTAACTGGTCAACTTAGTAATTCACTCGAGACTGGTCAAAATGTTGGTTGGAGGTTATCTATGAATTTCATTTATCTGTAACATTTCCCTTGTTATAAGAGAAAATTATAATTGATTTCACACTGAATATTACCTTATAGAAATTATTAACACATCCAACCACCAATATATTCTAAACCCCTAACTCAGGACCTGGCACATACTATGCATTCAAATATTGGTTTAATGAATAAATAAGCAATATGTTTAAAGTGAATGAGAGTCCTTTTGAAACAAATATTATTATGTCCTAAAGTACAACCAGCTTATGATCTTAAGATATGCTAATTCAATCACAGATTATAAATTTGAATTTACTAGCCAAACTTTTCAGTATTAAAGAATATCATTCCAGTTTCTGTAATTCATGATTTCTTGAGTGATTTTAAAATATATTCTATTTACGGGCTCTTTTAAGAAGTTTTAGATTTCATTTAAGCTATTTACCAAGGACGTCATTTAAGTAAATCAGGGTACAAAATATTGCAAAGCATGGTAGAGACTTTTTCCCATTTCTATACCCTGTCTCCTTTCTTTTAAAAAAAACACACATTTTAAGTTTTAATAATCACCAAATTTTTAAAAAGTAGATATACAAACTCTTATAATTAGAAATCATGTAGATTGTTTCATTCTATCACATGACACTTAAATTCTATCAGTAAGTAAGGATAGGCAAATTGTTCATAATTGTTGACGACATTCCCTCTGCTGCTGCTGCTAAGTCGCTTCAGTCGTGTCCGACTCTGTGCCACCCCATAGACGGCAGCCCACCAGGCTCCCCCGTCCCTGGGATTCTCCAGGCAAGAACACTGGAGTGGGTTGCCATTTCCTTCTCCAATGCATGAAAGTGAAAAGTGAAAGTGAAGTCGCTCAGTCTTGTCCGACTCCCAGTGACCACATGGACTGCAGCCTACCAGGCTCCTCCGTCCATGGGATTTTTCAGGCAAGAGTACTGGAGTACCCTTGCCATTGCCTTCTCCAAGATATTCCCTCTACTTTAGTGTATATTTGAAATTTTTCATAATTAAGGTATTTTGAGATGATACAGTGTACTAAATGCCTCGTGAGGTTGGTTTTCAGAGGACTGCAGAAACCAAGGCAAATTGATTCTTGGTGTTCCAACGTCTATTCTTTTAAACAACTACTCTATCTCTCCATTTTGCTCTTTTCTCCTAAAAAGAGAAAAACATTTAAAAAGTTGATATATGAGACTACAGTTTGGATAGCATAAGAGTGACAGCAAATCCATTGGAAAATGTATCTAATTCCAAGTGATGAAATATATCAGGATTCAGTCAGTTTCTACAGTCGACAGTGAAAATGCCCATCTTCTAAATCTGCAGTGCCTCCATGGTCCTTACTGATTCTCTTTTCATTTTCATCCTGACTGAGTCTCTTTTCATTTTCGATATCTTATATCCATTTGTTTCCTCAGGCTAGAACTGCTGGAATCTCTTCTGTTTCTCCCTCTAACCAGTCCTTATTTGTTCCAAACTGATGTCTACACTGCTTCCAAAATACTTTGTGATGACCTCTTCGGCCATATCCCAGTACTTCCTAACACGCCCACATCAACTGCAATTTCTGATCGTCCCCGGTAAAGCACTCTTTCTAACTCCTTTCCTCCTTTACCTCTCTTCCGGTTACTATTTGTGTTTCGGCTGCAGATGAACTCACTCTTTTCTGGCTCCGAGTTTTGCCAGGAAACAGCCTCTGTTTTTCCATCAGCCAAACCACATTCATCCCTCCCTCTGTTTGCTCTGTTGAAATCACAGCTCATGGTCCACCCCCTCTGAGTTTTTCCTACTTTCATCTATTTTCCAAGACCTCTCACTATATTTTCTAAGGACTGTATTAAATGCCTGTTAGGTCAACCTAACGTCTTTACATTGTAAACTCCTCTACTGATGAAACCATGACCAAGATTTACCATGTACTCTCCACTGTTTACTATGTTAAAAGGCATCCTGTGAGCACTCAGCAAGTACTTATTGGCCTGGCTTCACCATAAATTAGTTGTTCTTAGTCTCTTTTCCAGTCCAGCACACCTGAGGAATACTGCATATTCCCATCAGTCACTGTGGCTTACTTCTATATCATTCTGTGTCAAAAAGGATGAGGACACACACTCCCATCCTTATCTGAAAAACACTGTTATAAATAATGAATCAGAGAGTAAGTTATAGGAACCCAGAAAAAACAAGCATTTAACTTCAGCTCTACTTATATAGATAGAGATAAAAGAGATGGGCTCCCCTGGTGACTCAACAGTAAAGAATTCTGCAATGCAGGAGTTGCAGGAGACACAGGTTTGATCCTTGGTTTGGGAAGATTCTCTGGAGAAGGGCATGGCAACCCACTCCAGTATTCTTACCTAAAAAATCCCATGGACAGAGGAGCCTGGAAGGCTAGTCCATAGGGTTGCAAAGAGTCAGACACAACTGAAGCAACTTAGCATGCATGCAGACATAAAAGATATGTCTATAACTTGTATGTTACAGAATATAATGTTTTGTTCTTTTTTGTTTAAAAAAAAGGTTTAAAAAAAAAAACTTCATAAAAATTATAGCCTCTTGACATAAGAGGCTTTGGGACTGATGAAATGTTTTCTCAGGTAAGGATTTATTTTATTATAACCCAAGATGGCACCAAAATGTATTTCAGAATGACTAAAGCAGCTGAGAATTACTTTCTCCTCATGACACAATTTCCCTTGAAATTCCAGTGGTTAATTCTGTCTTCCCCACACCAAGAGGCATCTGCCTTTTCCGTGTTCCTCTTCAATGCAAAACAGCACAGCCCTTGAAACGCACTCTGTCTCATATCACCTCCAGATTGTCACTGCTGTTTATAGTATGGAATAATGAACAAGTCATGGGCTTTCAATAAAAGCTCCCAGGTTCAAATGAAAATTCTAACACTTGATAACTTAGGAATCTTCACCTAAATCTGTTTAACTGTAAAAAGGGAAAAAATAACAACACCTCTGTTATGGGGTTTGGGGAAGAAGCAAATTAGACAGTTCAGTTTGTTAAATTACAAGTCATCTTCGTATATTCACCTTCAACATAATTTTGAACATAGCTAAGAGCTTTTCCTAGGTAATATCATGTCATCTAAAATCCCAACTTTACAGGTTGGTGCTTGAACTCCACTTCAAGAAAACTTGCATATTTGCTTGACTTCAATGACTAACACTGTTGCATGCCATCGAGTCCTGAAATGCCCATTTTTCTATCTCTTCTATGCTCTTATTAATAAAGATAATAGTTTTAGATAACATTTTTCAGTGCATGATATGTGCCAGACATTGTTGTTAAGTACTTTATAGGCATTGCTTCATTGATCTGACACCACCATTATTCTTCCCATTCCAGATGTAGAAATGTAAGCTTCCCCTTCATTCTCTATCCTTTCATTCTTCTGCTCCATCAGGTCACACTGCCACTGCCATTACCAACAGCACCCCCACCACACACACACACATTTCACTTTCTAACTAATCTAAAACCCCAAATCAGGGACACCAAGTTTGTTCTTTCCAGTGTTCAGCCTCCACAGCCGTTTCATCCCGTCTTACACACAAGCAGTTCTGACCATCAGATTTTTCTGTTCCTCCTCCTGCAATGCTGACAACTGCAAATCATAACCATTCTCATTGGCTTCATGAAAAATTCACTTAAGCATAATGTTCACTTTACTCATTTCCAAGTGACTTCCTATCCCATCCCCCAAAGAATTAATTGCAAACCTTTCATTTTTTTCCCCTAGAGCTGGAAATCTCACTCTTCATTGCCAAACGATAACATAGAGATCACTGGACATTATTTATATGATGATCAAATATATATCTTTTTCTTGGCATTCTTCACTACCTAGTAGAGATGTTCCCTGTTCTTCTCGAGATACAAATTTCCATTTGAATCCTTGATTTCAAATGAATTTCCCTATTACCTCCCCTCCCATCCCCTACACCAATCTCCCCAACTCAACTTCTATACCTTCCTTTCTTCTTTCCTTTCTTTCTTCTTCTTCCTTTTTTTTCTATGAAAGTAATACATGAATATATTTTCCTTTTAGAAATAAGAACAGAATATGCAATGGCTTTTTCTTCCTGTAAACTAATTTAAGTCTTCTCTATCCTAAAAGAAAGAAAATTGCTTCTTTGCTTCTTAAGCTATTTTATTCTGTCTCTTATTCATTGGCAAAGTTCTTAAAAGATCACTCATCAGTGGATGTTTATACCTTCTCTTTCCCTTCTAGCTACAGACCACTGTGATCTGGCTTCTGCCCCTACCACTTACCCGCAGCTGACTCTCGGCCCCCATTCAACATGATTTAGTTCTGTAACTCACCTTCATGGAATTCTTCATGAATGTCTATTCTTTTGGTTGTCCTCCTTTGCATTCACTTTTTTCTCTGCTCTAGATTCTACTCTATATGAGTTCACCCATGACTAGCACTTCAGTAATCACCCTAAATAAAGGAGTCCGCATTTAGAGAGCCAATCCTGGCTTTTCTCTAGGGGTCCAGTCCCATGGTCCTAACTGCCTTGAGCCTCTGTTCCCCTGCTCAGCAGTCACTATGTTATCTGTCTTCTCTCTCTTTACCACTGACATCTATTTGCTCCCTATCATGGCCACTTACAGTGTACTTTGCTTATATCCAACTGTGCATTTCACTGGAATTCGTAGGCTTGTCAAGAGCTAGCGGTCTAGCTCAATGCCTTGCACACAATTGCAACTCTACAAACAAAAGTTATTTTAAATTTATTGGTATATGAGTCCAAGGGAGAAAAAACTACCATTTTCATAAAATTAAAGAGAAAATTTTCCCCATGCTCATGTAGCACTTTTAGTATCTATTTTCTTTTTGTTTTCACACAGAAAGTCCTCAGAATTGGAAAAGCACTTTTTCGCTAATGAGGGAAAATACTCTCAAATGCCTTTGGGAATGCTGATCATTTCCAAAATGCAGGAAGGATGAAAGCCCCATTAACTGGCAACTTTGGATAGTCATGCCCTAACAGGGAACATTGAGCAACTAAATCTTTTTTTTTTTTTTTTTAATGTATTTTATTGAATATTGAACTGCTCTTCAGGTTCTTCTTCAACCCAAGTTTTAGATGAAAACTTTTAAATGAAAAACATAGTTGCCCATTTGGATCTAATCATGCCTACCATCTACTCATAAACTATTATACAAGTGGCAGAATCTGGGAAAGATTTTTACAAAATAAACTTCAGAACCTCCCTTTCACCTTTATTTAAAAAAAAAAATGCAAGAAAAGGAATAAAAAATTGAGGACTCTGACCTGGTGTTAATTTTTATATCCCAAGCAACCAAAAGTTAAAAGATTAGCAGTTATTGGAAGGTAGAGGACTTATAAAACAAGCATAAAAGGGGATGGTTGCCTTATGATGATGAGGAATTGATCATCTCTTCATTGTTGTTGTTTAGTCACTAAGTCATGTCTGACTCTTTGCAGGTCAACCCCACAGACTGTAGCCCGCCAGGCTCCTCTGTCCATGGGATTCTCCAGGCAAAAATACTGGAGTGGGTGGCCATTTCCTACTCCAGGGGACCTTCCTGACACAGCTATCAAACCCACGTCTCCTGTGCCTCTTGCATTGCAGGCAGATTATATCTTACTAGCTCCTTAAAAATTTGATTGAAAGAGAAGATAAAGTAATACCCTAACAATATTCCTCATCTATTCATTTAACCAATATTTACAGGGAGTTCACTGTAGTCAAAGCTTTGGGAGATGTGCACAGACAGGGAAGCCGTGAGGCAGTTGAGGGGCCATGACTAAGCTGAAGTTGGGAGGAAACAGAAACAATGAGACAGAGGAATCATCACTTGTAATAGTGACTCACAGGCCAAGGATTTCCAACAACACTGAGACTCAGAGGAATGGAGGAATGAGCTTCCAGTAGACAGCAAGAAGCAAAGTAGCCAGACACAGCAGCTAAACAATGAGCAACTGGGGGACAGAAATGAAGGACACTCAAGAGGGAAAACTTAAAACTCCTGCTCTTTGATTGGTGCCTTGAACTGAGACCAGTCATCCAGTTGGGTTAACAAGGCCCACCACCACTATGGTTTCTGCCAATCCCAAGGCCTGGTAAGGCAGTTTTCCTGGGTTCCCTTGAGGTCTGGTCTCATAAGAGAGACTCTTGATTCCCATTCATACATTCCTAGAACAACCCCACCCCCATTAATTAACACAATCAGTAGAGGGTCTCTATTACTTGCGATCAAAAGCATCTTGCTAAACAATACTAACACAGTTATATAAGAAACTGCTTCTTAAAAGTTAAAACTTAGCAACAGCAAGTCATTTTAAGAGGGAAATAATTTGATGTCGGGCAGTACCACCTGCTTATTAAGTTACTAAATTATCTCCATTTCTTTCAAATCTTTATTATTAACAAAATTGCCCTAATTGCACCTACATGATCAGCTGGTATCTTGTCATCCCAATTAAAGTGTTGCTGCTTTCTGTATATGAGAAAAACAAGTTTCTTACATACAATCTGAGCTGTCTCAAATTCTTTAAAAAGAATGCCAAGATATAGGTTTCTCTCCCCACAAAAACAACAAAAGCCAAAAACACACATACAATTTAGACTATCCTCCATGAAACTCCAAATATGTCATTAATGCTTATGCATTTCAATGTCTCTAAAATGACCATTTAATATACCATTTAATATATGAGATGATATTGTTTCAAATTTTTCTAAAAAGTGTACATATGATGGATTGTCTAAATAAGTTTTAGAGGTTCTATTTTGGGTTTAAGTGTATATCTTTTAAATCAAAGGAAGCACTTTTTTTGTTGTTGCTATTAGAAGCCAATAGATTCTTGATAAGATGGTCTTGAGGGTTGTGTTATATTTTAGGAATGAGCACTTCCTGTCCAGATTTGCCCTGCTGCCTCATTCGTGGTGACTTTTAAACCATCTGGGGTCACAGTGGCCTCTCTTTAATTAGTATCTCACTGGAGGGAGGGGAGCATGTCAAAAAGAAAAGAATGCATGAAGACATTATAAACAAAGGTCTTCAAGGCAACTTGGGAGATTTCATCAAGGAGTGAAGAAAGCCTAGCTCCCTCCTTTGTTACCAAAGTAAGCAGGAAATGGTTTTGATTTCTACAAATTGAGAAGGCTGGAATTTTTATATATGTTTGTTAATTCTGGCTTAACGTGTCAGACTTTCTCTTTGTTTCAGTTTGATGGTTTGATTGAAAACCATGCAATCGCTATTCAGACATCAAAAGAGTAATATATAAACAAAACAACTGATTCAGTAAAAACTTTTCCATCTAAAGCATGATTCCATTAACAATGTCCAAATTATACTGATACACATTTGTTTCTTTAAAATAAATAAGTACAATATTTAGGACAGTAAAAGTTAGTAATGTCTATCTAAAAGATATTTTTAAAATAGATACTAAATGGCTAAAACTGTACTTCTCATATCTCTATGTGTAATCAACTAACCTTATGAGGCCAGGAACAAAAACTCTATTTAAATTAGGTTCATTATAGTAAATGAGTGAATGAATTAAAAAAAAAAAAAAACTTGCCTGAAACTAAGAATGACAATTTTAAAAATATGAGAAGTTTAAATATATGTTTAAATAGACATATATGCAAACATATATGTCTATCTATCTATCTATCTATGAGTATGTGTAGATAAAGATACAGATTCCATACAAATATAATTTCAGAAGGGAATTATATTTTCAAAATACCAAAGAGTAAAATTCTTGCAAATTAAGATGGTTTTGTGTATGAATAAGCAATGCTTTTAGGTGATTAAATCCTCAGTTCAAAGCACTGGCACTGATTAACGGTTTCTGTTGGGTACTATTTACAAGAAATCACCTCAGCAGGGTGCCCATGTCCAGTTTCATAATCACATAGTACACCCGCCCCACAGGATTACGTTCCGGGCAAGTTTGAATGTTAAGTTGAATTTCATTCTCTTCAGGAAGTGACTTTTACTCAAGATTGAATACAGCTGTTAGTACAGACCACTGTTTCTTCCACTTCTATGAGAACTGGAAGAAAACACCATTTTAAGAATTGCAAATTCACTTTCATTATTCCAGATCCGTGCAACTACATCGGAGGGGCTTCTTTGGTTCCTGATAGTTGAATTAAATTTTTATATATATTCAAAAGAAAACATACTGGATGGTTGAAAGATGGCTATAAGACTTTCCAAGTACTTTTGTAGCCTAAATATTTTTTATAATCAAAGGATCAGTTTGTTTGTAACAGATTTAGTGCTGGTTTTTTGTTTCAAAAATCAATGTTATCCTAACACTTGATTTTTTTTTCTTAAATTCCACTGTCTCATACAACTTGGTGTTCTCTTTATATTCACAGAAATGAAGTCTGGCAAATCAAGTGGGGCCTCAACAGAGGAAATGCTGCCAGCTAAAACACCGGATGTAATCGAGACCACAAGAGACGCGTACTTGGTTATACACATCGAGCTGAAAAGAGGTATTGGAAAGAAAAACTCAATTTTCATTGGATGGTTTAATTAATTTTGTGAAATCTTACTAGTTCATAGTTTACTCCCAAACAAAAAATATCCTGACATTATTTGGATAATCCTAGGTTCTACTTTCTGGAAATTTTAAAAACAAAAAAGGAAAAAAAAAATCTCTGAATTTTCATCTACTACCCCTGGTCATCCTGCTATCTCTGTGGGAAGGAGAAGAGAGGGATGAGGACCTCAGCTTGCCAGAAAAGACAATTCAGGATAAGTAACTTGGATTAGCTTCAGTAAATAGTTGAGAAAACAGCATTTGTAAGAATGTTTTTTTCTGATAGCATTACAGAAAAGTGTCCTTTCTTAAAGAATTAGAATAGCTCTGCCTGTAAATGAACAGACAACAGAACTAAGTTAACTCTATTTGGTGGTGGGGTGGAGATAGGAAAGCTTCCTTTACAAATTCTATTGTCCCTGTTTTTCTATTCCCACCCTTTGACGTGGTGCTTCCTTTTGTACAATGATGGCGATGGCTATGATGAATATTGTTTCTCCACTAGCTAAGAAAATCTGAACTCAAACTTTTTTTAGAGGAAAGTAGAAGGTTTGGGTACCTTTATTTTTAATTTATTTATTTTTGGTTTGGCGATTAGTGTTTGCCAAGTTTTACATTTCAGTAACTACCTATTGCTCTCTTTCTAAATATTTTTGCAGTCAAATACATTTATCTGCTCCAAAAACAATTCTTCAGACAAAAGCTAAAAATTCAATTTATTTTTCAGTAAACAATCAATTTTAATTATCCAAATATAGTCATTTTTACTTAAGACCTTGATTGATGGGTCTTAAGTTTTTATACTTTAAAGTCAAAGACAAAATCTCTTTTTAATTTTTTTCATATAATATGATCATTGTTTCTTAGGAAGGTGAACATTTCTCATAAGAGATGAAAGAATCTACCATAACTCACACAGGAAAAAGCACCCATCTCAGTGAGAACCAGTGATTTTTGAAACTACGTTCTGTTACATATGTCAGCCATCTTAGTATTTCAAGCAAGCTCTTTGAAAAAAAAAGAAAAGAAAACCTACTGCCACTAGAGGGAGATCCAAATTCCCTTTGTATCAATAAACGTGTAGAGTGCACTTAACTTCTGAAACAATAAAAAAATATGATTATTGTACATTTTGTTGTTAGTAAATAATAAAACTAAATCAGGAATTAGGCTTTTAGGGGACAACACTTTCCCCTTCAACTAGCATAACTACTAAGAATATATTTGATGGTTATTATGCACAGCATACATATAAAATGACAAAACTTTTTAATTTCTAGAAGTAGTATAGGTCAAGAGTTTCTTTCTGATTATTCATTGAGAGTGGAATCTTTTATCTATCAAGCTTTACCGAGCAACTGTCCGTACAATGTTTCAAAGATGGCTGCCACAATCCCTCCCAGTCTGCACGCACTTTCCCAATGCGCACTTGCTCTCTTCAGTCAAGACTTGGAATCTATTTTTCCACCTGCTGTATGTGGGATGGCCTTGTGATGGATCAGAAGAATATAACCATACTGCTGAGTAACTTGCTGGTCTAGGTCTTAAAAAGCCTTCAGTCAAATGTCACATAAAGAAGCCTGGGCTCCTCTGTAACCAGGTAAGAGCCCACATGGAGAGAATCCTACAGAATGGGAATGGGAAGCCAGGGGGAGGGGAACAGAGGCACTCCAGCCAAGAGTCATACACCTGTGAGGCACCTAAGGGCACTCATTTTAAGATATTCTATCCATAGCTCTGCTCCCAACTGCATGCAGCTACATGAGTGACCCAAAGTCACACTGGAGCCATCCAGCAGATCCCAGCTAACTCAGGGTATTGTGCGAAATAATAAATCATTGGTTTAAATTTGAGAAGGCTTACTCCTCAGTAATAGATTACTGCAACAATAATACCAGTAAATACATGGGTATGTGTTTTGTAGTTTTTAAAAGCCTTTCACATCCACAAGCTCCTATAGCCCTACCATGCAGTAGGAAACTGGTTCAGAGGTAAAATACCTTATCCAAGAGTTGAGAATACTTAAAAGCAAATGCAAAGTTAACATTTAAAAGAGATATGTTTCCCCTAAGAAAATACTGCATCTCTGTTTTTTTCTATTTTGTACCTAATATAGTTGTTGCCGTTGTTCAGTCGCTCAGTCGTGTCCAATTCAACAACAACTATAGTAAGGATCATCAAATAATCAAGCAGCTGACTAAAAACTACTCTTTCTTGCGCTTTTTTTAAAAAAATAAGAACTGGTTAGACAATTTTTTTTTCATTTCTACTAGTCTTAAGGATTCAAAAAGTAATAAATAACTTTTTGAACCTATGATTATTTATGCACACTTCTAGTTCTGTTTTGATATTTAAGAACTGTTGATCATCTAAAGTTTCTATGCACAAAGCACTGGCATCTTCAAGCAGTTTAAAATTTGAGAATATCCATTAAAAATTCTTAATTTCTGGGGATCACTTTGTCACATACAGAATCATTGAATAAGCATGTTGTGCACCTGGAACTAACATAGTGCTGTAGGTCAATTATACTTTCCAAAAAAAAAAAAAAGTTCTTGCCTTCCTTATTTTCAGTGCATTCACAAATTTTGCAACCTCCTATCTGTCTGAGCCCCAGTTCACCAAAGTAATGATTGGACACCTAGTCCCAGGCCCTTTGCATTTTGATGCCCCTTCCCCTCTTTCCCTTCCTCCAAGTTTTCCATGAGACTGCTTATAATTGAAATGGACACAGGACTCCAGCAAGAGAAAAACCACTGGGGTTCTACCCTTTGATGGCTAAGTTTTCCTGAGGGGTGGCAGGGTGAATGGTCTCAGAACTCAAGAATGGTCTAATTCACTGAGACAATAGAACCAGAATAAATTGGGAGGAAGATGATCAGGTTATCAGAATAAACCAACTGGCCCACGTCTAATACTAAAGCCTTAGATCCAGACTGGTAGTTCTTTCTCTTCTGAGAAGGCATCTTATTATTAATATACTTTGGTAAAGTATATTCCAATTACCTGTATAAGTTATACTACTTCTTTTCCCCGGAGAGTAAAAAGTACAAATGAGCACAATGAGTGCAAATGTAAATTCCAGAAGCTGGAGGCTGTTAGGGTTTAATTAAATAAATATGTAGATTAAGCACCTTCTGCTTTATACCTTATGGCAGTGATTTCTTGATTTTAGGATGAAGAACCAAATCTTCCACACATGACCCATGAATCCTTGCAAGAGTTGATGCCTGTCTACCCCTCCAGCACCGTTCTCTTCCCACCCACTGTGTTTCAGGTACACTGGTCTTTCAGCTCTTCATATCTTCAAGGTAACCTACCCAGCAACATGCTTTATACACTGTTCCCTCTGCGTGGAATGCTTTTCCTCTGCCAGGTTAATGCCTACTTATCCTTCAAGTTTCAGCTGACACCACAGACAGCGCTTCTATCAGAAAATCCTCCCTCACATCCCCCAGAAGAGGCAAGGTCCTCCTCTTATATCATCTCACATAAAGCACTCAGCATATCTCCTTTTCTAGACTCGTCAGGCTGCAGTTTAAATTACTGTTTAATGGCCATCCTCTGATGAAAGCTCCTTGAAAGAAAGGGTCATACCTGTTTTGTTCTTTCTTTTGTCACTAGTGTCTCATACAATATAGAGTAAGTACTCAATAGTTTATATTGAATATGAATCTGTTGCATTTAAGGAACTTTATACATAAACATATGTTATTTTACATTGTACATTATATCATATCATATTATATTATAGGTGCTTCTGAAGATACAAAGAACAATCTAACCATTTCAATAAGAGACAGGCACAAGTGACCAAGTGACAAAGCAGAATCTGATCAGTAGTAATATGATGGAGATCTAAATAATACACAGTAGGAGGATGGGGAGAAGGAGACTGACCCAAATGGCAACTACAGATATCTTTGTGGAAAATATTCTGAAAGGGCTTGCAAGAAAGGGCAAGGCTGACACAAATACATTTCTCTGGCCCACAAGAAACAATCAAGTTCACAAGTGTTCATCAAACCAACACTCTTCTTTCTTCACCCTTCCTTTGCACCTGGTGTCTCAAACTCTTTCCCAATTCTAGGAAATAAAAGAAATGGTGGTTTCATAGGACATTGGCAATGATTGTAACTCAAAGAAATGTCATTTGAATGATAAACTGTTAGACTTACATGTAGAGACTGACTTAATCCCTTGCAGCAACTTGGCATCTGTGAAGGAACTCAGACTAGGACCTGAAAACCAAACCTGGCCAAGAAAAGACTTCAGCTAAATCCAGACATAAAGAATGTAAAATGCTTGGGAGTGGGAGAGAATGTGCAGACCATGCTGGTAGCCTGGTGGCAATAGGTCTAAGAAGGAACCAGAGCTTTGAGGAAAGCTAGGCTTGCTGCAACACTGTAGAGAAATCTTTGTGACACGTTGATGTGCCATGACAGAGAGACTGGCAAACAAGCATCTCATTTAATGATTTGGAATTCTGGACAGATATGCTAAGTATCCTGTCTGACTGCCTAAAACAAAGCTGATTCACACACAGTATATCACCCTCCTTACCCAAACCTCAAGCAGTTCATATCATGTAAGTCCAACGAGAGGAGCTATGAACTATCTTCTCTTCTGAGGTTCGTGCTCCTAGTTAACTGGCTGGATCTCCTGGGAAAGGACCTATTTTCACTGGCTTGGATATAAAGCTAAGAAAGTAAAGCAAGTCTGTTTACAGAATTCAAGTTTTCGGCAGCAAACATTATTTTTAGCTTCACAATTAAAAAATGACTGAAATTTGGTCCATGTAGCAAACATTAAGTGGCATGAAGATATAATTTTGTTGCCTGGCTTTGCAGAAATAACACCAATGTTAAGGTGAAAAATGGGCTTCCATTACTGGAAATTCATTTGGTAAATATACTGCTTACACAAATTTTTCTGGTTCTGATCCAAAGCAATGTGAGTTGGTTTTGAAGACTTCTTTTTTTACACCATGTCTCCACAGTACTATCTTACAGCTTTTTAAACAACTATTCATCAAAAGTGAATTTTAATTCCCAAGTATATTTTAATATCAATCTTTCAACACAAAGCACTGTAATTTAAAAGCAGTCTAGAATATCCAGGAACATGCCTGTACAACAGAGCGTGCCATGTAAGTATGGAATTGTGCAATCTGCGTTTGCTTTGGGTTATGTGATAAGGACTCAACTCCTAATCATTTTAATCACATATTTTTTATGACCTTTGTTTAAAGTCAATATTTTAATTGGCATATATCAAGATCCAAACACATCTTAGATCAGAAGTTTTGTTTAAACTGAGAAAAGGCCTAGATATGAGCATGGTGGCCTAATTTTCACTTACTAAAGGAGCTTGTAATAAACAAAATTTTTAGAGATAATGAAACAACACTCAATAGAAAAAGTGTAATCACTAGCTCAAAAGATGTGTTTAACGAAGAAGACATGAGTCTAGTCCATTTAAAAACTAAACACAGCCACCTCTACATCACTATTTTGGGTGATATGTATAAATTAAACTCAAAGATATTTCCAAAATCTTACTCTAGTCAATAGTTACAGCCCATCCAGTTGCCAACTATTTCATCAGAACTACTAAAACACAGAAACAGTGGACATGAGTTTGATCTCTTTTTTTCCCATTGTGCACCCAAAACAAACAAGCATGAAAAAGGAAGCCTTTGAGGGAGATAGATAGCAGGAAGCAAAAACAGCAGCAAATGGGTTAGAAAATAGTCTAGAGTAGTGCCATCCATTAGAATCTTCTGTAATGATGAAAATGTTCTACATGTTTACTGTCGAAAATGGCACCTAGTGAGCACTTGAAATATAGCTGACGGTTGACTGAGGTACTGAAGTTTTTATTTTAATTAACTTAAATTTAAATTGAAACAACCACAGACAGATAGTGGCTACCATATTTGATAGCATAGGCCTATAATTTAGTGGATCCCTGAAAAATAAAGAAATGAACTATTATACATGCTTGGAGACACCTGGAGAAGAAACAAACTTGGGGACACTGCAGATTTGGGTCTAGACCACCACAAAAAAATGAATATTCATTGTATTCATTTATTTATTCATTTATATGATGAATATATATAAAGGTTATATTTATACTATACAGTAGTCTATGAAATGTGTGATATCATTATGTCTAAAAAAACCAATGTACATACCTTATTTTAAAAACACTTCATTGCTAAAAAAATGCTAACCATTATCTAAGCCTTCAATGAGTCATAATCTTTTTGCTGGTGGAGGTCAGTGTTATTGGCTGCAGAATGATCAGGGTGGTGGATGCTGAAGGTTGGGGTGGCATGGCAATTTTCTAAATGAAGACAACGATGAAGTCTGCCACATCAATTGGCTCTTCCTTTCACGAATGATTTTTCTCTAGTATGCAGTGCTGTTTGATAGCACTCTGCCCACAGCAGAATTTCTTTCAAAATGGAGTTAACCCTCCCAAACTTTGCTGTTGCTTTATCAGTTATTAATATTCTCAATTCTTTGTTGTCATTTCAACAATCTTTATAGCATCTTCATTTAGAGTAGATTTCATCTCCAGAAACCACCTTCTTTGCCCATCCATAAGAAATAACTCCTCGGCAATTAAAATGTGTTATCGTGAAATTGCAGCAGAGAAGACACATCTTCAGGCTCCACTTCTTCTGGTTTTCTGGCTATTTCTACCACATCTGCAGTTACTTCCTCCACTGAGGTCTTGAACTTCTCCAAGTCATCCATGAGAGTTGGAATCAACTTCTCCCAACATCCTGTTAAATGTTGATATTTTGACCTTTTCCAATGAATCACAAACGTTCTTAATGGTAGCTAGAATGATGAATCCTTTCCAGAAGATTTTCAATTGACTTTGCTCAGATCCACCAGAGGAGTCAGTGCAGCAACTACAGCTTTACAAAATGTATTTCTTAAGTAATAAGACTCGAAAGTCAAAATTACTCCATGATGCATGGGCTGCAGAATGAATGTTGTGCTAGCAGGCATGAAAACAACATTAACTTCATTGTACACCTCCATCAGAGCTCTTGGGCGACAGGGACACTGCCAACAGGCAGTACTATTTTGAAGGAGTCTTTTCTGAGCAGTAGATCTCAAGAGTGGGCGTAAAATATTCAGTAGATCATGCTGTAAACAGATGTGCTGTCATTAGGGCTTTGTTATTCCATTTATAGAGCATATGAATAGCAAATTTAACATAATTTTTATGCTAGGATTTTCAAAATGGTAAATGAGCACTGGTGTCAATTTAAAATCACCAGCTGTATTAGCCCCTAACAAGAGTCAGTCCATCTTTTGAAGCTTTGAAGCCAGGCTTTGACTTCTCCTCTTTAGCTATGAAGTCCTAGATGGCATCTTCTTCCAATAAAAGGCTGTTTTGTGTACACTGAAAAATCTGTTTAGTGGAGCCATCTTCATTATCTTAGCCAGATCTTCTTGGTAGCTTGCTACAACATTAGCTCTTTCTGCTTCATCTTGCACTTTGATGTTATCAAGATGGCTTCAACTTCTTTCCTTCAACCTCATGAACCAACCTCTGCTAGCTTCGAACTGCTCCCCAACAGCTTCCTCACCACTCTCAGCCTTCACAAAATTGAAGACAGTTAGCCTTGCTCTGCATTAGTCTTTGGCTTAAGGGAATATTGTTGCTGTTCTGATCTTCCATCCAGACCACTAAAATTTTCACTATTCTCAGCAGTAGGGATGCTTGCTTTCTTATCATCTATATGTTCACTGGAGTGTGCTTTTAATTTCCTTCAAGAACTTTTCATTTGCACTCACAACTTGGCTCACTGTTTGGCACAAGGAGGCAACTTTCACCCTCTCTTGGCTTATGACATGCCTTCTTCACTAAGCTTAATCATTTCGTTTCTGACTTAATATAAGAGATGTGTGACACTTTCCTTCACTTGAACACTCTGAGGTCACTGTAGGTTTATTAATTGGCTTAATTTCAAAATTGTTTTATCTAACAGGGAGGCCTGAGGAGTGGGAGGGAGACAGGGAAGAGCATGTTGGTGGAGCAGTCGGATCACACACGATTAAATTTGTCATCTTATATGGACAAAACAATTACAACAGTAACATCAAAGATCACATATCACAAATCACCATAACAAACACAGTAATGATAAAAAGTTTGAAATACTGCAAGAATTACCAAAATATGACAAAGAGACATGAAATAAGCAAAATGCTGTGGGGAAGATGGCTTGCTCAGTGCCGGTTACCTTCA